TGCGTTCAAATGCGTGATTTTAGAAATGCGAATTTGTATGGGGAAATGCGTAATTTGGCTTCGCATTTATGTTTTCTCCCCCAAATGACGCATTTGGGTTCAATGTAAATGTAATATAACGTGAAGAAAACATGCATTTTTTTATCGAACGTAGTTTTTTTTTGTGATCAGCGCCACCAGCGGTTTAATTTTTTTCAAATCTATGTCCTACTACGTTTCAACTAAACCAAATGTGAAACAAATCAGAGCATAAATACGGCTTTTCAAAACATCTCGACCCTTGCTCCACCTAACGAGAGTATTTTTGGCAAAAATATTTCTGCTAACATAATCACCATGAGTCAAGTTTTCTCAAGTGGGCCACCCAAAGTTGGCTTTTCGATTTTTTTTTTATTTCATTGACCGATTTTGAAAGTTACCATGGTATGCAATATTGACACCAAAGATTTTGCGCTAATTTTATTTTTTTACGAGTTATTTGCAAACAAATTTTTATGCCGGCCTTTACACTTTGTGAAATATTTCAGCAACCATTCATTCGAATCTTATGATTTTTTGACATCAATTAGAAAACTTATTGGGCAACAAAATAAATTGTAAAATTTGGATGCTTGTTTTATAAAAAATTTTACTTTTTTAATCAATTGATTTTTTTTACCAACTTCTCATATACCTAGGAAGAGAATTAAAAAGCATTGTTTCCGCTAAACATTCCTTTTCAATTTCATACAAAAAAAATTACTGTACCTTTGATTGACTTAAAGCTTTTTACCAAAAAAAAAAAAAATTTGTTTGCAAATAACTCGTAAAAAAATAAAATTAGCGCAAAATCTTTGGTGTCAATATTGCGTACCATGGTAACTTTCAAAATCGGTCAATGAAATAAAAAAAAAATCGAAAAGCCAACTTTGGGTGGCCCACTTGAGAAAACTTGACTCATGGTGATTATGTTNATTTACGCGGTATACTTTTCCCTGGATTTACCCATATATAGTTTTGCGTTATAACTCATATTTTATTTCGTAATATTCGATCCCATTCTGCCATATTTTGGCAGTTTCTATTGCATGAATTGTTTTCTAATACCCATTTTGTCTACTGCGATCGACCAGCAAAAGTTCGCCAATATTGAATTCAATTGTTTTCCAGCGAATAGGTCCTCCAAATACATAATGGATTGGTGCAATCTTTCTCCTTCCTCGTCGGTTTCTATTGAAAGCTGTTGTTCGTAAGTCAAAGTGACTGTGTAGCATATGGAATTTTCACAAACAAAAGTTGTTTAATTTATTGCAAAGATTTTTTTATTATTTTCTCATCTTTAGGAGTTTCCAAAGATAATGGCATAATAAAAAAAAAGTTTTCGCAAATTTGTCGATGTCATTAGTGACATTATAGTTTTGACACTCCCATATCTCCCTTACAAAAGCTTTGCACACACACTCGAACCCACACACAGTGCCTTGCTAAGGGAGCCGATTTTGTCAAGAGGGAGCGAGAAAACTGTTTTTTGAGCAAACCTTTTATTATTGAATCATGGGTTTTTAGCAATTAATACGGAAGCAGTCACTTTGACTTTAACCACAACTTCACAGGACAACAAATTTATTAAAAGCCGTACAATACAAACTGCCAAAATGTGGCAGAATGGGATTGAGAAGAACCCAAGTTCAGGTCCAAATAGTGTACAACTAAAAAAAAATAAAAAATATTACGAAATAAAATATGAGTTATAACGCAAAACCGCATTTCTAAACAATCTGTTGTATGGGAGCTATATGTTATAGTCAACCGATTTCGATAATTTTCAAAAAAAGTTGAGGTAATATCAAAAGACAGTCACGTGCAAAATTTTAGTGAAATAACTTTAAAACTGAGGACATGTAGTGCGGAAACTTCACGACATATCTATGTACGCATTAAGTATACACAAATGACGACAAATGAAAGTGTACACCTGGTTCTAATGTAATATTTATTCACAATTATTTTCATGAAAATTTGTTTGCCTTATTTATTTATGAAAATATAGTACGTTCTATAATATAAACCATATAGATATGTTTTCACACTTTATATAAAATTTCACACTTTACATAAAGTTCACAAAAATTAAAAAAAAAAATTATCCAAATTTTGGAATTTTTTGTTCAGAATTTCTATATGCAGCTTTGTAATTGAACTTTATTCGTTAAGTTATACAGCACTGTTTTGATAAATTTCTGAGGTTATAGATTTAAAATCGCATAAAATTGTTATACGACACGTGTATTGTGGAGCATAAACAGAATTGTTCAAACTAAAATAGGTGGATATTCTAAATTTTAGAAGAAACTTAAAACAATTTTGTGTAAAAATTTGTCGTACTACGAAGAAAAATAATTAATTTTAATAACGAAGTTCTAATTTGGGCTTCAAAACAGAACCCTTCTTCTGTATTATCAGGCAACATGTTAATTATTGTTGCACTAATACACTTATTAGGGCTGTTTCAGAAGTGCGAAATTGCTAGAATAGAAGGCAGCAACGCAGAACTTAGGGCTAAACACCTTGATTTAAAAAATTTTGTCAACCTCAATATTTGTGAGTTTTGGGAAAAAGTAAGAATCACCAAAATGTTTTAAATGAGCCACTGTTTTCAAACATATACAACATCGCTCAAGGATTGTTGTCGATTTTACATTCTTTAGCCAACCTTGAAAGGATCTTCTCCATACAAAAATTAATAAAAACAAAATGTCGAAATAGAAGACTTCAATTAGAAACAATTTCCTTTTTAATAAGAACTATAGATTATCTTAATTCTAGTGGACAATGCTGTCATAACATAACATTCATAAAAAGTTCTGGCACAGTTGATACTATTTACTGAATTAGTTATTTTTTGGAACTTACTGGCAACTTTGTAAATTTAAAAATATCCATTCATTGTAAATCTTTATGGTTATATACATTTATGCACTTACATACATGCATTTAAAATCATAATATCTGATGTAAAAGTGGGTAAATTTTTATGTAAATAAAATAAAGTTAATAATAACGGGTGATTTTTTTGAGGTTAGGATTTTCATGCATTAGTATTTGACAGATCACGTGGGATTTCAGACATGGTGTCAAAGAGAAAGATGCTCAGTATGCTTTGACATTTCATCATGAATAGACTTACTAACGAGCAACGCTTGCAAATCATTGAATTTTATTACCAAAATCAGTGTTCGGTTCGNGGAGAACAATTCATCTCAAGAAATGGACCGGTAAGTTGGCCACCAAGATCATGCGATTTGACGCCTTTAGACTATTTTTTGTGGGGCTACGTCAAGTCTAAAGTCTACAGAAATAAGCCAGCAACTATTCCAGCTTTGGAAGACAACATTTCCGAAGAAATTCGGGCTATTCCGGCCGAAATGCTCGAAAAAGTTGCCCAAAATTGGACTTTCCGAATGGACCACCTAAGACGCAGCCGCGGTCAACATTTAAATGAAATTATCTTCAAAAAGTAAATGTCATGGACCAATCTAACGTTTCAAATAAATGCGTTTTTTTTTAAAAAAAAGTTATCAAGCTCTTAAAAAATCACCCGTTAATAGATTGGCGCTTACACATATGCTAGTATTTGGCCGAGCTTCTCCTCCGATTTGTGGAGTTTTACGCCGACTCCGAACGGCGATTGTATTTTTATGAAAAGCTGTCATACACCCGGTGGTTTGCCATTGCCTGCCGAAGGGCGACCGCTGTTAAGAAAACCCCTTTGTTCTATATTTCTTGCGATGTTGCTGTGACCAAGACTTGAACACAGGCCCTGCTGCACTGCTTACCAATACACCACAGCGGCCGCTAAATTTTTAGCAACAATTTTAATAATAATATAATTATCAACACTGCTCACAAGGTGTAGTAAGTGTCGTATTGTCGTATGTCGTAAAGTTTTCAACGGCTAAATAAATGTTTAGAAGACTTGAAACCACAACGGTGTGAAATTTCATAATAGGACTTTTATGGTATCTTGTGAATCCCTTAAATCAATTTAATTTTAAATTTCTTTAAAAAATTTTGTCAGTTCATCAGATTTAGCCAGTGAAAAGTTGACGTGGAAATCTGCTGCGAGAATTACAGGTCGATCATAACAGTCTACTTATCTCTATTTTCATCTTTGTCATTCATCTTCATCGTCATCTTCATGCACATGAAATCATCTTCATCTTAATCTTTCTCATCTTCGCCTTAATCTTCATCTTCAGCTTCATCTTCACCTTCGTCTCCATCTTCATCTTCATCTTTATTCAAAACCATTTCTTTTGATACCCATATTGGGATACTGTATTTATTTTAATAAATAATTTGAATTTGATTTTCGTATATATGGCAACCCTGTAAAAAACTAAAATCATATTACACATCTACTGGTCAAGCCCTGTCATTTGACACCTCATCTTTTAAAATCGAACGAACGATACAGATTTTATGACTCGGTGTTAATTATTTAACGCAACCCTCGCGGCAGAGAAATTTTGAATGCGATTTTCTAACCTGTGGCAACGCCTTTCATGGAACTTAAGCTATGTTGCACACCCGAAGGAGGAGGCCTTTGATGTGACACCTAATTTTTGAAAATCGAGAGAACGATGCAGATTTTATGACTTGGAGTTAAATATCCATCTCCGAACTCGTGTAAGAAGTTTCACTTCAAAAACTCGAAATTTTGATGAAAATTTGTTAAATTTTCTTAAATTTTTATAAACTAAAACTTGAACAATATTTTTACAGAAAAATAACCAAAAAAATATAACTTGAAAAACGTTGTGAATATTCAAAAAAAATCAACACGTTCACGTTTCAGTCACTCTATCTTTTTTATACAAATGCGCAGCTTTAAGCAAACGAAAAAGCATATTAAAGTATGCAAACATTGTTTTAACGTATGCACATAAATCAAATATTCAAATATGAACCACATACGACTCTTACAACACTGATTAATAATTAAGAAGTTTAACCGATTTTTTTTTTTACCTTAATCACAGAAACACCTGCTAATGAACGTGAGCAACTTTTGATACAAAAGTTAAGACAATGCTGTACGCTCTTCGATTTTTCCGAGCCATTAAGCGACCTAAAATGGAAGGAAGTGAAACGAGCGGCGCTGCACGAAATGGTGGAGTATCTGTCCAATCAGAATGGGGTTATCACGGAGGCAATATATCCGGAGGCAATAAATATGGTGAATATAGCTTATTAAATCGCATTTCGCTTTACATTTTATTTAATTTAAACAAAATTACTACTGAAAATTCATCTTTAGTTTGCAGTAAACTTATTTCGCACATTACCGCCATCGTCAAATCCTAACGGTGCTGAATTTGATCCGGAAGAAGATGAGCCGACGTTAGAATCATCTTGGCCTCATCTGCAATTTGTTTATGAACTGTTTTTGCGTTTTCTTGAATCGCCAGATTTTCAGCCGAACATCGCCAAACGTTATATTGATCATCAATTTGTGTTGCAACTGCTGGAACTTTTTGATTCGGAGGATCCACGCGAACGTGACTTCCTAAAGACTGTACTGCATCGGATCTATGGGAAGTTCTTGGGTTTGAGAGCATTTATACGCAAGCAAATCAATAACGTATTCTATCGGTATGAACCAATCTACATAAATACATACATACATATGTGCATATGTCCATGTGTGTGTGCCATGCTTATTGCAAATTTTCTCTTGCAGTTTTATTTATGAAACCGAACATCACAATGGCATTGCTGAACTCTTGGAAATCCTCGGTAGTATTATCAATGGTTTTGCATTGCCATTAAAAGAGGAGCACAAACAATTTCTGCTGAAAGTACTCTTACCGTTGCACAAAGCGAAAAGTCTGTCTGTTTATCATCCGCAGCTAACATACTGTGTAGTGCAGTTCCTGGAGAAAGATCCAAGCCTATCAGAGCCAGTCATAAGGTTAGACAAGAAGACACTTTTTGAAGTGAAACTTTAGAGTGGTGGTAATGAATTAGAAAATCGTCACGAAAATGTAACACTTTGTTTGCAACGGGAGTGCATCTCTCTTCCTTCTTATTTCTCTCTCTCTCTCTCTTGCCACCTATATTAATATTGAATTATCGAAGCGTGGTAGCGTACCACTTTGTGTTAAGTTTAAAAGTAAGATTACGATTAAGGCCAAGGTAAAAATTAAAATCAATAGTTCATTTCCACCAAGCCTTAACTGCAGTTGCCTATTGCAAAAAGGAGATTACAACCTGAAAGGGGTAATTGCTCATGTTATGTACAAGCAAACAAAAGTAAAAAGGAAGAAAGTAAAAAATAAACCCTGCCGATTATGTACCCCATGCGAAAATTCGTGCAACTTACCTGTTAAGCTTTTGGTGGAAATAGGCTATAAGATTGAGATTGAGAAGGAAACGAACAAAAAATAAATCGACAGAAGTTTCACTTTTATTTCCGCAGTGTGGTCAGGTGCAGTAATTTTTACGCCTATTAAACAAATAATTTTTTCACTTTAAAGGAGTCTTTTGAAGTTCTGGCCCAAAACACATAGTCCCAAAGAAGTGATGTTTTTAAATGAACTGGAGGAGCTACTCGATGTCATCGAACCAGCTGAATTTCAAAAAGTTATGGAACCGCTGTTTCGGCAAATTGCCAAATGTGTGTCGTCACCACATTTTCAAGTCGCCGAACGTGCGCTTTACTACTGGAATAACGAGTATATAATGTCGCTGATCGCTGATAATTCACAAGTCATATTGCCGATAATGTTTCCGGCATTAAATAGAAATTCAAAAACGCATTGGAACAAAACGATACATGGACTTATTTATAATGCACTTAAGCTGTTCATGGAGATGAATCAACGTCTTTTCGACGAGTGTAGTCGAAATTACCGTCAGGAAAAGCAGCTGTAAGTATAGCTTTTTATTTATCGACACTTCGTGACTGAAATTAGTAGCATTGACACATGTGATGACTTTTTAGGGAACGCGAAAAGATGTCGCAACGCGAAGAGCTTTGGATGCAGGTTGAGTCTTTGGCCAAAAGTAATCCTGAGTGGCCAAAAATGTGTGGTCAAATGGACAATTTAAGTATTTCAAGTAGTCAAAACGAGTTTGAAGAAAATGAGAATTGTGATCTGACTTACGACAAATTTGAACAAGAAAACAGACAACAACAGATGCAACCCCAACAACAAGCAGCACAGGAAACTAGAGAGGTGAGCTAAACTGAAAGCATTACGCCATTTTTGTAGGAAATATTTCATAACCGAAGAATCAGTGGTGCAAAGTTTGTAGTTGTAACAAATGTTCCTCACCTTCATTGACAAACTATGATGTATATAATCATGAGTATATGTTATACTTTAAGAATTGTCATTATTATAACATTTTTATTCAGTGATTTCTTTTTTACCTAGAAATAAAATATACAATGTCGGTCATTTAGTTCAATGGTGGCATAATACAAAATACATATTACAAAATCGAGTTAAGTATGCAGAAATGACCGCTACCTGTTCTTCTATGTTTGCAATAGGAACAGCGAGAATATAATTGTTCGAACAAAATTATTCAAATTCCAGGTAAACATTTCGGTGCCCAGAAATACTACATATCGAGCCCTAACCGCCAAAATAACGTAAGCGACATTTTTTTCAAAATTTTCTTTTTGATACAGAAATGCATTTAGATGCTCTAGGAATATTTCTACATCAAAAAGAAAATTTTAAAAAATATCGCTTACGTTATTTTGGCGCTTAGGGCTCAATATGTAAATTCAAAACTTTAAAGCTATTTTTCTCGAGCTTTTGGTTTTTTGAGTTATGACAGTATTGAATTAAATGAGTGATATGTGTGTCTATATATGTGTGCTTTTGGAATCTATACATCATCTCCCCAGTGTATTCCCTTCCCAGTAACATTATTCATAACCAAAGCATCATTTCCTTCGTTAACTTGTTCTTTTTCATCATAGTGTCGGTTTCATATTTAATAAGTGCACCAAGCAAGTCTGGAAATTTTGTTACCTCTATTTTATCGGTGAAGTATTTAGTATTCTCTACGATATCCTTTATCCGTTCTCTTTGAAGGGTCTTACGCATATTTACAAAATGCTTGCATTATCTTTAATCAAATAAACCGCTTTTAAAATTATTAACACTTTGGCTCAATACCAATCAAATTATGTTGGTAAAAAAAAGAAGCAACATACATATTTTATTTCAGTTGTAAATAACATAATAATGTGAACATTAAAAACATTACAAATAGCTACCTACATACATGTGTTTAATATCACATAGATGAATACACTGAAAACGTACTGATACTTATAGAAAAATAAACCTGTTAACATCGTACAATAGCATATCGATGGCTGAGTGGAAGATCGACCTATGTCGGCTACCAGTTCGAAAACGCTCTATCTCAAAAATCTTTTCAAGAACGCCTTATTTCAGAATTTTATTGAAAAACACCTTATCTCAAAATTCGGTTCAAAAACGCCCTATCGCACTTCAAAATGTATTGAAAATATGCTGATATAGGGCGTTTTTGAATCGGCAGCTGAGATAGGGCGTTTTTGAGACGAATTCTGAAATAGGACGTTCTTGAAAAGTTTTTTGAGATAGAATGTTTTCGAACTGGCTGCCGAGATAGGTCGATCTTCCACTCAGCCATCGATATAGAGTCCACATAACTTCTCCTTAGAACTCTTAACTCTCCGTATGCAATACAATTTCCTGTGATTTCCATTGATACGCTTAAATACATCTACAATATATTCACTAACATGCATACATTGCATTCCAAACATTCGTGTGATAAAATATACAAAATGGCTTTAAATTGATATGCTATAACAATTTGCAACTTGCGAAACTACTCATTTACAATAGGTGCGAGGTGAACGCAATAAAGACAAGCCGTTGTTAAGAAAAAAGTCGGACTTGCCTACTGACAGTGGCACAATTCGTGCTCTAATCGAACACAAGCGGCCGGATGACTTCTTAAAGACACCACCGGATGTAAACAAATACTAAGTTAAATATTAAGGCGAAGCATATGGCAAAATCGGAGCCAGCGACACTTGCACACGACTTGATAATCAACATATATAGAAATATACAAAAAAAAAAAAAAAATGGAACAATAAATAATATTTAAGTGTACGTGATGTACATGCAATTATTACAGTTTAACAATTTCAATTTTCATTAGACCCAGGTACCATTAAACTTTAATAATTTTAAGCTTAAATTAACGCAAATTAATTATTCGTATATCTTTTGTTGTATTCGCCGTAAAAATGCAAAAAACAACATAGTCTATATGAAAGCTTGTAATGACGTGAACTAAATTATCCATGATTATTATACATAAATATAATCCATATTGTTATAATCTAAATACATATATATCAGTCAAACCTTTTAAAAACAAATGAAAACTATCACATGTGCGATGCTTTGCTTGAATTCGACTTGAAAATACATACATACGTATAAAACCAAGATTTAAATAACAATTTTATTTATTAACACATCTGTGTATGTACATTAGGGCGGTCCAAAATAAGTAAAGTCGGAATTTTAATGCTCCACCTCCTAGGATTATTCTATATCGAAAAAAGTATACCCCTATTTTTTATTTTGAAATCAAAAAATGTTTAGAGGTCCCTCAAAGCGTTTAAAGCTTTCCATGTATTTTATATGGGGGGGGGGAAAGACTTTTCATAGAAATTGTATAGAATTCTTGAAAAACGTTATTTTTCGATCGGAAAACTCCGATTCTCTTCAGGAGACTTCCAATAACAATACCCAAATAATTATCTATGAAGTGCAGAAGGAAAGCGTGTTGAACGAAAAATTCAATCAGACAAATTTCTTGTAAGCATCAGACTTTATTAACATGGCGATATCCTGGGAGGAAGTAATCTCTTCAAATCTTCATAAGATTTCAACTACTTTCAACTGCATTTGAAGTAAAAAACTTCAAAATCAATATACATACATATGGGTAATTTCAAACAAAGTTTAAAATTTTCAACAAAGTGGTGGTAACAATGAAAAATCAAAAACAGCATTATACGATCCAAATAATAAGCCACCAACAAAGCTGTTTTCTTTTGCGAACGGTATTACTTTGATATATTTTACCTGCTCCGGTTATTCGATCATCAACATGGAAAAAAGTTTAAACAACAGCTTAAGTATGAATTTAGCCTGCAGCAATAGCCAGAGCGAAGTTGGGCTATTGTAGTGCGGGTCTCCCCATTTTGCTTGCCTGAGTGCATTGCAGTTAAGAAGCGCAAGAAGGTATTGATTAAATGAGATAAGAAAAAACTTATGGTGTTTTCGTTTCTACCGCAAAATTTTACCTTCTCATTGCCCTCTCAGCACAAACCCTAAAGAAATCAAAACGCAATTAATAAAAGCAATTCTTTTGTATTTGAGTGAATTTACCATTGCACCATGGTAAGTAAGGCTAAATATTTCCGGAATGTCACCCTGTTTTTTTTATGCAAAAAACACTAAAAATAATATAATTACCAATGTCTGTTTATTGCTTCAGGAGTTTCAATGATTGCCTTGTTGTTGTTGTTGTTCTTATATTTTGGTGAAATAGGACTCTTAAGGGGCAGTGCACTTGTGCACAAGTGTATTATTATTAATATGTGTAAATTTTTGAAATCGGACTAAAATTACCGTCACGGTAAATTACCGTTACGGTAAATCTCAGAAATACGAAAATTCCGATATTTCAATAACTAAACACGCCAACTTACAACAATGTCTTAACAAGACACAGTTATTATTGATTTTTTTTTTTTAAATGGGCGTGGCACCACCCGCTTATGACTACATTCATAAGTGTATGTGATAGCCCCCTTATCGATTTCCACCAAACTTGCTACAATTATTTCAATATCTCATAGCATATAATCGACATCGGGAAAAATACTTTTGCTTACCATGCAGTTTACTGAAAGGTGAAAAAACGATATTTGATACGTGCGCCGGGTAAATAAAGTTCGGTTTCGCCCGAACTTATACTTATTTATTTGTTTATATTAGGCTATTGGTACAAAATAAAAGAAAAAATTGGTACGACAATTTTTTTGTAGTCACACGATTGCACATTAGGTCAAATGTTTCATTTGGCTGTGCGAAAGTCCAATTTCGGAAACGCAGTTTTACATTATTATTTTTTGATGCCATTCTGTAGAGAATACTCCGAAATAACAGAAAATTAACTTTGTTTTTGTAAAATAAAAATCACCGTTAGACAGCAATCAAACAAAGTTACAGGAAAAATCTTAAGTGAAAATGAAGGGTTTTATGAAGACTAATTGCTTTGGGAATCTCTCCTCAAGGCATATCTGCGAGACATGTAGTAAATTTTAATTTTTTTTTATTAAGGGACTTCGATAGTATTTTTTTTTTTAATCCCTAGATGAAACCATTTATGTACATATGACCATACTTATTTTATTTATGTAGCTCAACCCCCTCCGGGTTGAGTATGGTAAGAAAATAATTTTTTTCAAAACCAAGCTATTTGGACAATATTTTCGAGAACTACATATACTCATCATTTGAACTTAAAAAAGTCTGTTTTACGAAAGCCAAGTCATGTTTTACATGTTATTTACTGACTCTACACTTTTTTTAACGGTTTCCATCCTTTTACATTAAAATAATGCTATATTTTAGCTGCAATTAATTTCGCACAGAAAAAGTAATCATTTGACCTAATGTGGATTGGTATAATACAGCGAACTTCTACTGAAAAATTTGAACAAATTGTTTTTCGTGACGACGACGACGAAGAAGGTGGATAAAGCTTCAACATAAGCTTATCTGATAAATGAGTTTTAAAGTGATATGCAAATGTTTAAAAAACATGCATTTAACGTAAAAAATCAGTACAATGCTTATCCGTTAGTATACCTTTTTTCTAACAGTTTCTAAACTTATTTATTACTTTAGCTTACTTTTAAAAAGGTGCCATTCTGGAAAATATTTTACAATGATGTAAAAATAAAAAATAAAAATAATTTTTTAAGAGCCTGAAAACAGTTTCGTATTCTGCACAAATTTTCAAGTCAGTAATCGAATTCTAAAATATAAAATTATCAATCTTAAACAAAAATATATAACATACCGGCCATCCATGTCCACTTTGGTTGGAAATGACACTTGCAAAAAAACACAGCCAAAATCTAAAAGCGCTAACCGAAATAACATATTTTTTTGTCGTACCTATGACAAAATTGCAATAGTTACATATTGGAAAAAATAATAATAAAAAAAAAACAATACATACGTATGTAGTTCCGGGAATAAAGACAAAAATAAAATATGCCTTACTTCGGAATGGCTAGATTATCACACTGACCTTCCTTTAGTGGTTTTAAGCAATCCAAGTTCTGATAGAGATGTTACGAGTGGTCAAAGATCACAAAGAACTTTTTTTTCGAAAATCTTATTGTTCTTTGTTTATGAAAGCATAAAACTTTATGAGTATAAAAAAATAAAAAATGGCGCTTACACATTGCTTAGTGCTATTAGTAATTTTTTTCATTTGCATTTATGCCTGCTCTTCTACAAATCAAGCACTAACCCATACGCCATGTACGAGTAAATTATTTTTAAATTTTGTCTCTGTTAAAAAGAAAATATCTTGTGTCTCGGCGTAATAAAATAAAGCATCGGTAAATATCGGGTTTAAATTGGTTTACAACCAAGAAACATACATACGTACGTCAACGTACCGATAATAGAAATGCTTAACTTTAGACATAGCTTTATTTTTGATCCAAACTTTAAAAATAAAGTGAGCTTTAAAGTTAAAGGTTACTTCAGAAAACGACCCTTAACGAGCAATTCTTGTATATATATATATATATATATCCATAGGGTTCTCGGAAACGGCTGATATTTTGTACACAGATAATGTTTTGGATTTTAAGGTTATCTGAATAGGCACTAACTCCGAGAAGACTCGTATAAGGTTGCCACCTATTCGAAATTAGTTACAAATTAATTAAAACATAAAGACGCCTAATTCAAAAATATTTTTAATAGGGTTGACACTTATTTTGTATCGCATATTTATTAAATTTTTTGTTTAGAAAAAATGTAAAATATTGCCATTCATAGGTACCAAGAGAAGGTTCTTAAACATTGCTTTCCCAATATACAAAATGTTATCCCTTGGGATAATAGTGTACGGTCGCCGCTTATTTTCGATTCTACACAATTTATCTAAAACGTTGCAATATGGATATCAAATGAAAGGTATTGTTGAGAACTTTGGTCCGAAAATATTTTCGATCAGGGTTGCCACGCTTCTATGTAATACAAATTTTTATTTTGTTAATTTCAATCAGAATTTTTTTCACCAGACTCATATAAATGGCGGGTTTACGAGGTCGCTGACTCCGAATCTGATGTCAGCTTTTTTTTAATTCAAACGTTTCACTTCAAAAAAAGGGGAAATAAAGCAGCTTTACCCGTTTTTTTTTTTAAAGTTCGAAATTCGAAGCGGGTTTTTCCTGTTTTCGAAAATAGACGAGTAATCTAAAACCCTAATAAGCAGAGTTCCGTTTTCATATGAATGCATATGCAACGTTTATTAATTACTATGAACTTAATTCCACTACTTTTAATGGCATGAACCACTTTTTCAACCCTAAAATCTTTATAATTTTCTAGAGAAGTTCCGCTTAAATATACAATTTTACGCCGACTCCGGCGATTTTATTTTTATGAGAAGCTGTTTTTCATGGCAGAAATTCAATCGGAAGTTTGCCATTGCCTGCCGGGGGTCGACCGCTATTTGGAAAAACCCTTTTTTGTTTTTATTTTTTTTTTGATGTTGGGTTGAATCGGGCTTGAACCCAGGCTCAGCGTAGCGTGTGGTAGCGCGCACTGCTGACCAATACACCACAGCGGCCGTCTGGCGGTTACAGTGCCAATAAAGCAGAATATGTCTGTCGACCCCTAATTGCGATTTTATCGTTAGCCTCAAATTACACAAGGCAACAAAAAAGGGAGAACATTTTGGTGCTGCAAATGTTAAATCTGGTTTTGATTGACTTTTCTGTGCTGATTACGAATCCGTGAGTATAAAGTATCCATCAGCTCCATATTTTGAGAAAAACGGGGTCAAAATGTCAAAAAATCTCATTTTTTGCAATATTTTTGAAGCTCTAGCAAGAAATAAAAGGCGTCAATATACTTAAATTAAAGCTAGAAGTCTCGACTGCCCTACACCGTGACTTGATGGTCATTTATAAATAGTCATTTATTGAACAGCAAAGCCAGATTTTGTGCGAAGTTTGAGTACCCACCGCAATTAAACAAAAGGTAATAGAGGCTTCCACTAATGCTCAAGGTAAGGCTTGAGCTTTCGACTACAATCTCTTAAAACACCATCCTGAACCTTAACACTAAGGTCACTTACTGTTATTTATTTAACAGCAAAATTAATTTTTTTTTCCAATAGCAC